AAATACAATTTTGGCACAGCTTTATAAGTTTCATATGTTAATAAACATAACTTTCCTAGTTTTTTTAACTTGTTTTATTTGTTTCGTTTATTGTTTTGCGTATCTTAAAAAAAACAAGTTCAAACAAAAATAACACAATATATTGTTTGCATGATGCAAAAATGTTACTAAATTGTAGAGGTCTTTCCCATTAGCAAGTCTATCTCAAATACCATCCCAGGTATAAAATTAATTCAGTACTTAAAATATACATATTTGCAGCGAACTTTCAAATATTATTCTGAGGTTGGTTTTCATTCAACTTTGTTTTACAAAAAAACATAGGATTAAGACTCTGATTTATTTGCTACATGAGTATCTTGGTAATATTTAGATTTACTGTGAACAATAAGGTGATACATTTTTTAAGTATAGCAAAAATCTAACTTTTTATTACTTTAGGCTTTATGCTTATGTAACTTTACATTTGTTTTGTTGTATATATTTTAAATTTTAGCTGAACTGACGCATTTACAGAATTAAGTAATTGACATATTATTAAAATTCATTCAAACATATTTATAATCAAACAGAATATATTCCTCTCATAAAACTATTCAATAATATAATTCGGTAGAGAAAATAATACGAAATAACGTCACAAGTAGCTGTATTCAACAGTTTTGTTAATCGTATTACGGTGTCCTGATGAATCCACTTATTCGTTCGTATCAAAGTCACCCTTTACAGTCGGGCTGAGCAGTTCAGCTAAACCTCAGTAAGAGCTTTACTGTCAGTTGTATTGGATTAAACAGTTACCAACAAGGTAGGTCTGAGGTTGAACTTGCGACGTTCCCAAAGATTACATTTGACTACACAGATTATCCAACTCTGGAGCATGCGGTCTATAAAGCCTCTTTCCTTAAAGTTGTCGGGTTCAATCCTAATAAAATTAAAACAAACTTAATGAGATCAGATAGCCTATAAGGGACTTAAATATGTAACATATAGTCAAATTAATTTAAAAATCGTTTTAACAGCCAAAAGGTAGTTTAAACCTTAATTAATTGATTCATTCGATCAAGAAGCCATCCTTGATGAAAATAGAAGTATATTTTAATTCAAACATCTACAAGTTCATTCATGTAGAAAAATAAAAGCGTTTCAGGCAAAACAATTCGAGAGGTTTTTATTTATTTACACTATCGAATACTCAGTGTGTATATTTGATTTATAATGTGTATTTGAAATAATATAGATGGATAGGTCGGCCGTTTTCATTTTTCTTGATCAAAGATAGAATTGGACACCGTAGATTAAACCCATCTTAAGATCCATAATGATGATGAGTATTTAAATGACTTAAAGGGGTTTTAGGAAAGTCTGCTATATTGATAAATTATCAGATACACATGAATATTTACTATATTGGTAAATACAGTACTAAGATATTTAGAGGCTACAGTGCTCCTAATTATGCCTTACTTTCAATAGCTTACATTTTTGTTGAATGTTTTAGTAAATGTAGTGGTAAAGGATTCAATCGAATTCCTGCAACATTAAGGTACTAAGCTATATAGAATATTTAAGAATTAATTCAACATGACTTTAATTAGCATGATGCCTATCAATATTATAAAATTACTCTTTTTTGCTAGATTAAGTAATGTTGATATAGCTATAACGTATTTGTACCAAATATTTATAGGTTAAAAATACATACGTAAAACACAAATATTTGATGTAAAATCGGTAAGTTTAACAATACATCGACTGGGACATGTTTTTTAAACGTTCCATCCATCATATTATGACAGTTCTCCTCATGGATATATTTCACCATCCCCTAAGTTATGACTTGAATGATAAACTTTATAATTATAACTCTGAAACTATGGTGGACATCAATGAAAGTCTACATTGTAAAACATATATATTTACATGTTTATAAACAATATTGATAACTTAATTCAAAGGTACTTCAAAAATGGTCGATTTATCATTACAATTTTATATTACTTTACGTGGTCAACAATTTGATTTCATTGTACTCATTATTTCTGCACATTTTCATACCATTATTAAAATAATTTTACCATTACTAAAGTAATTAGTAATTTTCACACCTACATTTACTTCAGGCGTATTCCTACACATACCTAAGACTTACTAAAAACAACAATGTAATAGTTGTTCTAAAAGGTAATTAAATAAATTCAAAACTTTCAATGTATACCTCAAAGTACACAAAAAAACCAAATGGTAGGCCTACTCTTATTTAATATCTCTACTTTTTAAATATTTTATACAAATAACTTCTTAGACATTACAGTATATTTAATACCCATATTTACAACAATAACATCTAAGTATCACATGAAATTTACCATTTCTAACTGCATAACACTTTTTCAACATTAGCACCATATAATACTGTACATCTTATATTTGACACATTAAGAAGTATTAAGCGTCTTAGAATCTACACAGGTTAAATATGACACTGATCAGTATAGAGAAATGCTGCTATTTTATGGCCCTTACAAGCTTTGTGTTCCAAATATTGTTGTCCGCTCGGGAAGGATGTTAGGTTATTATATTAACAAGACGATAACATAGACAATAAGACTCCTACGTAAAAATGTGTAGAGTATATTAATGGGATTTTAAATTCAAGATAACGACGGAGGAGGGATTTTTCAGGACTTTTAATACAAAATAATAATATGTTTTCAACTGTTTGGTTGGAGACTGTTGGTCTACCTAGCCTACTTGGATTAATAACCGATCCAGTAACCAATTTGCTATTTTCATGAGCTGGGGTTTTATTATATTTCAAGTGTTTGCTGTACTAAAATCACTGAGTAGGTCAATTTACAATATAAAGCACTTAGATTTATTTTGATTATAAAACATAGTTTATGGTGAAAGCTTGAAATTACCTATATAAAATAATAAGATTACCAACAAAACAATGAACTCAGCTGTTTTAATGAATGCAAACCGTCTGAATTACCAAATGCAAGAAAACCAATATGAAATGTTTGATTTGTTTCATATCCGTATGGAAATATTTAAAACCCCACAACCATGAACACCATGTATATTGGAAACACATAATCAACATTAATTAGTTACGTTAGTTAATTAGTGGTTAGTTAGTTTAGTTGTTTCTATTAACTAATTGATGGTTGGGAATGTAAACGAGCAGTTTTAGAATTACTTACATTAATATATTAAATATGGTTCTTTGCAAGGTTGCAGTTAAAGTAATGTTTATGTGTAAGAGAAAACGTAATGTAAAGAATGTTTTACACTATGCCTATATGAATTCCGTGGCGAAAATCGCTGTCGTCCGTCAGCAGTTTAAGCAAAGCTGTCTCAGTGGTTACACCCACGTGCGGTCGAAAGTGTAATCTTCCAGCCTAATATTTTTGGTACAGTTATAATGTATTAAAGCAATTCCTTAGAATTCGGTAATGTAGACTTAGAGGCGGTTCACGAGTCACGGGTTATCCTTAGTTCGAGCGCAAAATCCAGTTATAGCCAGTTTTTTGCGCCGCGGCTTGGAAATCGGCTTCACGAGTACGAGGTTACCCGCGCTCGAGCGCAGACAGATAAACTTCACCCAATTATGACAGGGATAAACCCGAGCGCAAAAAGTCGGCTTCACGGGTTCAATTAGAGAAAACCCCGGGCCAAATGTCGGGTTCACGAGTCATAGTCTAGCGCAAACTGGATAATCTCGAGCGTAAATAACAATGGTTTTGGTCTTCAACTTAACCCTGCTTGGGGGCAGGGTTAAGGTGACATCATGTCGGGATTATCTCATTTGCTCGTTTATTGTTTTTTTTTGTTAGCAAAAAGAATGTTGTATTCGGATTCGGCATTAAATTCCGAACAATTTCATTACCCTCAACATGATATTTATTTTTTTAATTTTTTTACTACTGATAGCCGAAAACATGCAAAACATCGTAAAAAGTAACTGTTGAGGCATTTTGGTTAATTATTACTAAGTAAAAATATAACTAATAGCTTAACATATTCATATAAATTTAAATTGCAATCGAATCTTATTTTGTAAATTCTTTATATTTATTTTAGCAATTTTGAATCCTTTTATTTCAGCTGAATAATATCAAAATAAAAATGGTTCCATCAAACACTTTTAGGTTTGTCTAAGATTTTTAATTGTATAAAATTAGTTCAATTTTTGTTCCGCCATAAAATTCATATAAAACATAGGTCATTTTATTTAAGTATCCAAATTTTATTTCGTATGTTTTAAATTATATGTTTATATTATTATGTTTATGATTTAAGATTTGTTAAAGAAAGACCTTTTCATCTGATAATGTCTTAATATTTGTCATATCGGGATTTACAATAAATTGCTTCAATTTGCTGAGGTAAAAGATAAATTATATAGTTAAATATACAAAACGTTGTATTACAACAAAATATTTTTTTAAATTATAACCTGTTTTCTCATGCTTAGGGCTGTGCTCTGCCCGTCTGGCACGCGCAAATGTTCTTAGGGGCTTAGTTCTTAGGTCTGTGCTGTTTGTAGCCCCAATTGTGAACCGATTTAAAAGATCTTGGTGTCATAAAATGTTATTGTAGGTTTGCCATTTTATATTTACGTTTATTACTGTATACGTATGAGGGCATCTCTGCTCCTATAATAGCCAGTTGTTCCTAGAAATTTATTTTTTATACAAATTACTGATAAATAAAAGATATATATATTAGTGGACTGAGATAAAATACGAGTAGGTTTTGTTCTTTTATTAATAGAGAGGGAGGGGGGGGGGTGTAGAGGCCACAAAGGTCATAGATGGTTATCTACAAGAGGGCACCATATCCAAATACAATAAACGTTCCTTTCTCCCAGTAACTCTTCAAAAAACCCTGTCTATAGTAAGCGGGGGGAGAAACTATATATTTTATAGATGAAATAAAAAAATGCAATAACTTACCAATTACCATAAACCAAATTAAAAAAAAAAACTATCGGGGATACCATAGATTAGCTCCAAATACGAAGTTTGGTCAAAATTGGACTCGAAAATCTTTACGAAAACAATACTTTCTCCATAGACTATGTATGTATAAGGGAAGAAAGCACTAAAGTTTCGGAAAAAGTTTGCCACATCTCAAGTTAAATAAAATAGGATTGTACGAACATAATATATAATCTAGCTACACAAATGTGTATGGTTTTCCAAAAAGCACGGACGTGTTGGGTCGTCAGTCAGGATCCAACATGCCCGTGCTGTAAACTCAGACCCGGAGACATCCAGGAGTGACTCTGGAGGACCAGAAGCTGAGGACGCAGCAGAGGAAGAGAAGAACTACAGCGGCAGACATGAGGTAGACACTCCAGGACAACTGACAGGAACCTGGGGATAGACACTGGTTATACTGGGTGTACAAGGATAAAGCAGAGAAGAACTACAGCAGCAGACATGAGGTAGACACTCCAGGACAACTGACAGGAACCTGGGGATAGACACTGGTTATACTGGGTGTACAAGGATAAATATACCTAGGTATAGACACTGCTTTTACTGGGTGTACGACACTAATGAAACATTGGTGGTAGACACTGGTTATCAATATTTGTTATCTATTAGGCTAGGGTATAAATATTTAGTTTAGTTTACGATCTTGTGTTTAGACCTAAGCGAATTTCTTTTACCTCCTGTACACCCTCCCTCCCTTGTCATCTGTTTTCTCATCTTACCTATCCTGTATTTTCCAGACAAAGGTCCACAACAGTCCCTAACTTCCCTGTTGTCCCATCCTGCAGGGTACGCAACTCCTCCTCCACAGACCAACAGAGCTGAAAAAAGTGACAATTGATTTCATCGTAAGATCTGTCATAGTGCCATTTCTTCGTTAAAGTATGTCTTTCATTTTCAAACACTTAGTATTTTGCATTAAAATTGTCTTTACCAAAGGTTATATTCTGGTAGAAAGTAGACATTTAATTTTTAGAATGGCACTAATTCCTAGTGAAAGAGTAGTCAGATAAATTATTATACATTAAATTTCAAATCCAAGACAAAATTTCTAGGGAAATTTAAGCCAGGTGATTAGAACCGGTAATTTTAAAACCAAATTGCGAAGCTTTTAAAGTATCGGTAAACGTAATTACACTTAAAACCAAACCAAACCACTCCAACCGTATCTACCTTACTCAGACTGGAATAGAGCAGTTCACATACTATATACTTACAAACCACATTTATTTTATGTTATCGTTTTAACTATATATAAAAACAATGTTGCAGTTACCTTAAATATTGTTCCTTACTACAACCATTTTTTTGGGGTACCGATAAAGGTATAATTCTATCAACCAAAACTACAAAATGATTGTAGGCCTACACATATGCGAGTGGTTAAACCTTATAGAAAATAGAGTTTAAATCTATCAACGCATGTAGCTACATTCTATTTACACATTTATATTATTTTAAGTAAATGAGTATTGTCCCGTCGGTCAGGGCAACCCTTTCTCCCATTTTAGACATTTTCTTATTAGTTAAAAAAGTAATTTTTCACATGCATCACTGCTGGTAAGTGTAAATATATTATAATATAAATAATATTATTGCTACCTGAATACATCGATATATACTACCCTGAATACTAGTGAATACTAGGTGACAATAATATAGAAAAATTAGCTGATGAGTCAAAAGCTAATAAAGAACCTGCAATAAGCTGTATGCAGCCAGCTACCCTCGCTGTCCCAGCATGAACTACGTAGGTTATGCAACACGCTGCTAGTGTAGTGACTGCTATCAGCAGACTCAGCACACTAGCTGCTGCTATCAGCACTGTGCTGACTTGCCACCAGCCACTGGGAATGTCCATGAACCTACAACAACATTGTACATGTCACTACAGTTTGTGTTGTGTAGGTGATGCAGCATGCTGCTAGTGTAGTGACTGCTATCAGCAGACTCAGCAAACTAGCTGCTGCTATCAGCATTGTGCTGACTTGCCACCAGCTACTGGGAATGTCCATGAACCTACAACAACATTGTACATGTCACTACAGTGTGTGTTGAGTAGGTGATGCAGCACACTGCTAGTGTAGTGACTCCTATCAGCAGACTCAGCAAACTAGCTGCTGCTATCAGCACAGTGCTGACCTGCCACCAGCCACTGGGAATGTCCATGAACCTACAACAACATTGTACATGTCACTACAGTGTGTGTTGAGTAGGTGATGCAGCACACTGCTAGTGTAGTGACTGCTATCAGCAGACTCAGCACACTAGCTGCTGCTATCAGCACAGTGCTGACTTACCAAAAGCCACTGGGAACGTCCACGAACCTACAACAACATTGCACATGTCACTACAGTTAGTGTTGTGTAGGTTATGTAGCACGCTGCTGGAGTAGTGACTGCTATCAGCAGACTCAACATGATAACTGCTGCTATCAGCACAGTGCTGACTTGCCACCAGCCCCTAAGAATGTCCATGAACCTACAACAACATTGCACATGTCACTACAGTTAGTGTTGTGTAGGTTATGTAGCACGCCGCTAGTGTAGTGACTGCTATCAGCAGACTCAGCACACTAGCTGCTGCTATCAGCATTGTGCTGACATGCCACCTGCCACTGGGAATGTCCATGAACCTACAACATCACGAATATATTTTTAAGTAAAGGTTTTTTTTAATAACATAGCGTCTTTGATGTGTTGTGTTTTTGAAATCAACTGGACTGGTGTTTTGTCTGTAACACTTTGTTATATAACAATGAGTATACTATCGTAAATAAACTATAAAGCCAATTATAACACAGTCCAGGTAATAAGGCCTCGATATCAACTAATAATCTAATAATCCGTTATTGTACGCTATTACTTACGTTATGGGTAATGTTTAACAATATCCCCTAATGCCGATGTTGAATTAAGCAGTACTGTACTGTTATATAGCCATTAACTTTAATGTGATAATTAATAACAGATATGAATAAGATTATGTCATTTTTCAATTATGTGGCTATAGGGTTATAATATGACACAATATAAAAATGTGTTTTATTGGCAATTAACGTTATTTTTGCAATGATAATCTTTTAAAAACTTATATTTCAATCAAATAAATGTCTAATCAACAGTATCAAAATCATGAAAATCGGTTGAATAATGTTGCAAACATTTTTATAAAAATCATACAAAAGAATAATACAAAAATATGTACCTCCTCTCTCAGTTTTATTATATTTTTGCTCTAATCCTTTAGCTTGAAGTAATGGAGGGAATAGCGTATTTCGACGCAATTAATGTGGAATTTCACAATACGTGTAGTGGTAGTTTGTAGTCTTTTTTATGTTTATTGTTCTCCTTTATGGTACTTATGGGATTATAGTATGTTGTAGTGAGAGCTGGGATGTCGGTTTGTTTATTTCCCATCTGTCAAACGAAATTAATATTTTTTGCCGTTGATATACAGAAGACTGCCAAATTGGATCAGCAGTTACGGAAGTCAATAGACAATTTTAGTTTTTAAAATAATAGGACTTTTTCGAATGTCAAAGGCAGCAAACAGTTGATGGTAATGATAATTTAGAACTAAGTAACTATATTTTACTATTGAGTGAGTAATTAGAGTAGGTAACTAACCAACCACAACGGCATGTTGATTTCTTGCACCCCTTTGAATGGAAATGGAAATAACCAATAATAATATAACAACATCGTGTTTAAGCATGACTAACGTTAATAATTTAATGACATATTTTGACGGGATTGAATAAATTTAGTTACAAAGATATATTTGAGTTAAATCTGTTCATTTCTAAATCCTTTAGAAATAAAACAAGTTATTCTCATCCACCCAACGGTATGAAACAATGAAAATCGGTTGGGAAGTACGGCTAAAGCTACGCGCGCACTACGGCGGCACGGCACGGACGGGCGGTACGGCACGGACGGCATTTTTAAGAGGGGGTGCGCGCACTACGGCGGCACGGCACGGACGGACGGGACGGGACATCCGCACATCCGCAATTTAGGACAGATGACAGTCTGCGAGCTAAAATTTGTGAGTTAAGATGGATGTAGATAAAGTGGTGATAGTAGGTTTAATTTCAGCAGAGGAAGAGGTGACAAGAAGGTACAAGCAAAGATTTTAGATACACCACATAAACAGGAAAAGACTAAGTTTTGGAGAGTTCCACACCTTGTTTCCTGATCTTGTAGAAGGATTATGTGTAAAACTTACCTGATTGTTTCATAATAGATCATATTTCTGCCCATATATTGTCACGCCGGACGTTATTAAAATATTCCGGATGTCGCATGTTGTACAGTTTGGGGTTTTTCTCAACGAGAAAAATCAACTTACTAACATCTATGTTTACAACACACGAAAACACTGCTACTTTGACTGAGATCAGTTGAGAATGGCGGATGTCCCGTGCCGCCCGCCCGGTCGGTGTGCAGTGCTCCCGGTCGGTACGGGCGGTACGGGCGTCACGGCAGCTCGGAAATGTCCTAGAGTTCTGTCTCCCGGACTTTTTAACAAACGGCGGAAGCTGCCGAACGTCCGTTGCCGGCCGTACCGCCGTAGTGCGAGCACTCTTATTACATTCAATGTTATTAACTTTTAAAAATTGCCGTGCCGCCCGCCCGTACGTGCCGTGCCGCCGTAGTGCGCGCGCAGCTTAAAGGCTACACTTTTGTAAACAAAGCAAACAAAAAATTAGAAAATATGTGCACCTTTATTCTCAGTTTTATTCAATATGTGATCAGATATTGGACAGGAGAAGAGGGAATTTAGACTAAATTCATATTGAATGTCACAAAAACGTGTAGTAGTAGTTTGTAGTCGGTTTGATATTTATTGTTCCACTTTATAGTACTTATGGCATAAGCCTCTTATTGCGAGAGCGTAATGTGAGTTAGTTTATTTTCTAACTGTGAAACAAAAAAAGTATTTATTTTTTTGGTGCAGAAGAGTGTCAAATTAGATATGAAGTTACGGAATAGTCAGTAGGAATATTAAGATTTAGTTTTTAAATATTAGGGCTTACTCAGAATTTCAAAAAGTATAAAAAAACAGCTGATTGTAATGATAAACGGGTGTGTACATAGTAATGCGAATAGGTTACTACCAGCCACAACGGCATGTTAATGTGTTGCAAAATTTTGAATTGAAATGAAAATAATCAATCATACATCTTCATTACATAATTTTTTATTAGTATTTTATGATATTTTTGTTGTATTTCAACACAGAATACCCAAACAGAGTGGCCACCCTCTATCACTTTGATTACTGCTACGGTTTCTGGTTCAGAGATTAACTCAGAGTAACATTAACCCACCACTGTTGCCAACGCCTTCATTATAATAATTGAAACACATTTAAATCTTGGCTGCTCGCCATTGCCAACCCTGTTTCCGTTCGTTTGGCTACCAAAAGGGGAATCATAAATTGTTTCATAGTTTAAAGCCTATAAATCCAATGAAGATATTTTAATGTTTTTAAATCAAAATGATTTATTATCGTAGGGTTGATTAATAATTATTATATAATATTATGTTATAATGTTAATATTATGTTCATATTACGTTGTAAAATAAATTTATTAATGTATCTATTATAATATTTAATTCCAAATTTGAAATTAATTAAACATTATTACTTATTTGAATTCTTTTGTCATTTACATTTAGGAGTTTGACTATTTTATTTAGGGTAGTTTAATATGCTTGTAGTAAACGTGTAAGAATATTTAATTAAATTTATTTGATAATGGGTCAGTGTCTTGTTTCAGGGAGAAAGGTAATTCTTCAGGATCATGGGGGAACTCAAGTCTCTAATGGACCCAAGTGCTATTGCTTAATGTTGTAACTTCGGGAAACCATTTCTTACTGTCACATTTTTCAAAGGATCCCCTTATAACGCTTTTGTCTTTGTCTCTAGATTTTAATTAAATGCCCATTAGAAGCGATTGTACAATTCTTATTCAGAGGTTTCCTAACATTCATTCTTTAGACCCATCTTACTGTATTATTTATTAGTTTAACCCCTTCTGACAATGTGTACAGGACATAAGTATGTTGATTTGTTCTCATAGCAAACAATTAAACAAATATCTCTGTGTTTGGTTACAGTGTGATGTTTTACAAAAAGTAAATTTATTTATTCTAAAGTTAGATTTGGACAAGTTCAACTAGTAAAGTGATAAGTAGTTATAGAACTCTACCACATTCCTCTTTGTATTTATTTGCTTAATAACCCCAACAAGTTTATTTACGGTCAAAATATCTTTCATTGTTAACTTTGTATATGAAAACATTGAAAACAATTTATTAGAACATATAACAAGATGCTAGGAATGTAAAAAATTAGGGAATAGGTCGCCAATGCAAATTTGTTCACTAAAAACATCAAATAGCTCAGTGAAGGTTTTGTTAGAATTTTCTTAAGACCTGGGTGAAACAATTTAATGAGATAAGTTTGATGTTACGTTTAATCGTCTAGTTGAAGGTAGTTTTATAGCAAGATGTCATCTCCGAGATGAGCTTCAACACTTTCAACCGATTGTTTATATTATGAACATCACCTTTTTTATTTCATATAACAGCTCGAAAAAATATATAAAAAGATTATCTGAAAGAGATTATTAATCTTCTAAATAAAAAAATACAAAATTTAATACTGAGTAGAAACATATTTTAAACAAAATATAAAAATACATAATCTCAAGGGGGTCCTGTTATAGAGCTAGTTTTTTTTTTATTTTTCTATGTAGCATTCTAATTTTATTGTTTATAAATGATAAAACATACATAAGCCCTACATAGTACAGTATCAGGTATTACCTCTATGTATTTTTTTATTTATAAAACCTTTGCTATTGAAACATTTATAAATAATTAAAACAAAACAAAATTGAAACTTGTTCCGTTCATATTTGGAGCGGACGTGACCTTACGGGATGGACGAGGCTGATTTCTTGGAATTCTATGACGAATGAAGATAGTATAACGTGTATGACACGTTTTCAAACTAGGTAAATAAGACAACATTTCGAACAACGTTCTGTCTCAGACCACACCACTACAGTTAGTTACAAGTGCACTCCACAGGTCGCTCCAACTCTGCGAAAAACTACATTATTAATTATTACTCCATAAATACTTTTGATTTAGTCGATTAAAGATTTTGAACAGTATATACTATTGATGTCAATCATAATAAATTAATTTCGAACAGCCCTAGTCGTAAAAAAGATGTAACAAATATCAAGTATTGACTTTAAAAATCTTTTTTTTACTCTGTGGGATGTATTTTACTTTCGCGATTCAGTTTTTATTGTAAAAAGCATTAAGAATGTTGATAGTTACTGATTAAAGAGCGTAGAAGTATACAAGTTCTCGCACGAAAGATGTGTACTACTCATGGCATATATACAGGCGCGCTCTGTACCACTGTCGGGAGGACCGAAGCTGCTAGATGTCCATTGAGGTTCAATTCCTCTCCCCCCATAATAAGTTGCATAATATCAACATAATACTAGAATAGCCAGAAAAACAATAGCCACATAAACATGTGGTGGCCTTACGTCTCAGCAGCGGACTTTGTTCTCCTTTTGTATTTTTTTAAACTGTTTTTTGTTTCATTTTTTTTCAATATTTTTAAAATAAGGTTTTAGAGCCAAACATACAATTTGCTTTACAACATCTTTTTAAAACAGTTTACTATTGAATGACGAGGTTTTTCTCAATACCAGATCCATCTAAAATACTAGTTACGGTAAGAAATTATGGTAGTACTAAAAATATATATACTTTATATTTGAAATTATGTAATAGACAGTGTAGAAAACTGCAATAGACCAAAGTTTTATTTTTATTTTTACCAAACACCTTGATATCTACATCCTACAAAATCTATCTTTGAATCTTACAATGGAGCTTTTTACTATTGATCCTACATTGTGTTCTATTATTCTTATTCAAAATTTAATGTAGATCACAAAAAAGAGACAGTATCTACCCAAATACTTTTACATGTAATTGAGAAAAGTTTAAAAACATGGTTATTTGTGAAAAACTTAAAAAATAATTCTTTGGGAAGCTAATTTTTAGACTTGGAACCTCTTATATACATCATCACACTTCATTTACTTTGTACTTGCACCAACAAACTTTCGTCACTCTGAGTACCAATCACCCTGTATTAAATTAATAGTGTTATTTGACGTATTTTGTACTTTCAGGTCATTTGATAACACGTACGATGCTGATCAAGAAGTTATTTATAATTGATCCAAATATGAACAACACATTTATATTAGAAAGTTCAGTTATTAGGTATACTTAAAAAAAAACTTAAATATAGGTGTTTTATAGATTCAACGTGCTGCTTAGTTCCAACAGTACTATAGTAACATAAGAATTATGATGACCCTCAGGGTAAATAACAGATAAAATTAAGTCTAGTTATTTTTCTTGCTAAATTAAAAACATCGTACATCTTAAAATTATTTACGTTATAATCCTTACAATATACATAGGTAACGACCATTTTCATGTTTTGCCTTTGATAATTACACTTGTAAATATTCTTAAAAAATCATAAAAATATTTTGAAAATTCCATCAATTCTATTCCAAAACTGTTTATCTACTTAATTTCTTTTTATGTAGACCTCTTTCGCATCATACTGAGTGAGGTGTAGGAATATGATCAGATAAATTGATAACATTTGTGGTCTTCTCACGTTTCTTTACACATCCCCGGTGACTCCACGTTGCCAAAAACTCCACAAACGACAAACAAAATCAGACGTCATCTTACACGAGTGTTCGACCCTTGAGAGGTTTATTTGATTTCCCGACTCTTGACTAGAATGACTTTGGTGTGTTGTATTGAGAATGTGCAAACAGGAATGTGTTTGAGATATTTTAGTGATCGTGGTCAAATCTCAACAGATAAAAATGAATCAAGTCTTTAAACATAACATATTAATGAAAACATTTCTGTTTTGGTGGATGATAAAAATACTAAATGTCGTGAGAAGATTGGCATTCAATTAATTAAAATTAATATTTTATGTTGCCCCTCTAATACCTTGAGTATCTGCCACACTCTTGTACGATCTCTATGAGCCCCTGTGGTGTCACTCTGGGGTAGTTGCATCTCCTGAAGGAACTGAAGTAAGCGTCCACCTTACCCATCAGCCGACCCTGGCAAACAAACATGCCTTGCCTATCTAATAGTTTACCTTGAGTATCTGCCACACTCTTGTACGATCTCTATGAGCCCCTGTGGTGTCACTCTGGGGTAGTTGCATCTCCTGAAGGAACTGAAGTAAGCGTCCACCTTACCCATCAGTCGACCCTGACAAACAAACATGCCTTGCCTATCTAATAGTTACCTTGAGTATCTGCCACACTCTTGTACGATCTCTATGAGCCCCTGTGGTGTCACTCTGGGGTAGTTGCATCTCCTGAAGGAACTGAAGTAAGCGTCCACCTTACCCATCAGCCGACCCTGACAATCAAACATGCCTTGTCTATCTAATAGTTTACCTTGAGTATCTGCCACACTCTTGTACGATCTCTATGAGCCCCTGTGGTGTCACTCTGGGGTAGTTGCATCTCCTGAAGGAACTGAAGTAAGCGTCCACCTTACCCATCAGCCGTCCCTGACAATCAAACATGCCTTGCCTATCTAATAGTTTACCTTGAGTATCTGCCACACTCTTGTACGATCTCTATGAGCCCCTGTGGTGTCACTCTGGGGTAGTTGCATCTCCTGAAGGAACTGAAGTAAGCGTCCACCTTACCCATCAGCCGACCCTGACAAACAAACATGCCTTGCCTATCTAATAGTTTACCTTGAGTATCTGCCACACTCTTGTACGATCTCTATGAGCCCCTGTGGTGTCACTCTGGGGTAGTTGCATCTCCTGAAGGAACTGAAGTAAGCGTCCACCTTACCCATCAGCCGACCCTGACAATCAAACATGCCTTGTCTATCTAATAGTTTACCTTGAGTATCTGCCACACTCTTGCACGATCTCTATGAGCCCCTGTGGTGTCACTCTGGGGTAGTTGCATCTCCTGAAGGAACTGAAGTAGGCGTCCACCTTACCCATCAGCCGTCCCTGACAAACAACATGCCTTGCCTATCTAATAGTTTACCTTGAGTATCTGCCACACTCTTGTACGATCTCTATGAGCCCCTGTGGTGTCACTCTGGGGTAGTTGCATCTCCTGAAGGAACTGAAGTAAGCGTCCACCTTACCCATCAGCCGACCCTGACAATCAAACATGCCTTGTCTATCTAATAGTTTACCTTGAGTATCTGCCACACTCTTGTACGATCTCTATGAGCCCCTGTGGTGTCACTCTGGGGTAGTTGCATCTCCTGAAGGAACTGAAGTAAGCGTCCACCTTACCCATCAGCCGACCCTGGCAAACAAACATGCCTTGCCTATCTAATAGTTTACCTTGAGTATCTGCCACACTCTTGTACGATCTCTATGAGCCCCTGTGGCGTCACTCTGGGGTAGTTGCATCTCCTGAAGGAACTGAAGTAAGCGTCCACCTTACCCATCAGCCGACCCTGACAATCAAACATGCCTTGTCTATCTAATAGTTTACCTTGAGTATCTGCCACACTCTTGCACGATCTCTATGAGCCCCTGTGGTGTCACTCTGGGGTAGTTGCATCTCCTGAAGGAACTGAAGTAAGCGTCCACCTTACCCATCAGCCGACCCTGGCAAACAAACATGCCTTGCCTATCTAATAGTTTACCTTGAGTATCTGCCACACTCTTGTACGATCTCTATGAGCCCCTGTGGTGTCACTCTGGGGTAGTTGCATCTCCTGAAGGAACTGAAGTAAGCGTCCACCTTACCCATCAGCCGACCCTGACAAACATACAGCTGTTATATAACTGTAAAATAGAATTTTGCCAGTATACCTACACCTTAAATCTTGAATTTTAAAACTATGCGTTAACTATCACAAGATACTCAGGTATTACTAAGTTATTGAACACCACTAACCTTATACTGTATATATTATGGTCTTAATAAATATATAATTCTCAACTCATCTTTATGTATTATGCTTATTTCGAAACGTTTGTCTCAGCCTAATTTATATCCACAACCTCAGTAAACCAAAATGATTTCCCTCAAAATTATATCATAATTCTCAAGCACAACTATATTTAGTAAAGTAAAGCTAAATTTTGTGTAGCTTAATTTTTCAAAGTAAAGCTTGGGTATGACTCAAACCTGTATCCAGTAGGGCAAATAGAAGCCTGTGCAGCACAGAAGTGCAGCGACCATGGATAGAGCAGCCCAGGCTAGTCCTACAGCAGTGAGAGATGTGGACATGGTGTAGTAGATCGGAACCCACTACAGGTTGGAGAAAATCTATAAATAGACCAACATTGTTCGAAATCAAGAGAAAATGTTTGGAACAGTTTTACTTAATTTGAATCACTTTCTATTTCTTCCAACCCATCATTTTAACTCAGGGAGTCCCACGAAGAGGTGTAGACGTTTAGTTTTGTATTATTAGCTCATATGAACTTTAAACATTTCAACTTGTAGCAATTATATCTTTTAATCGTGTTCAAAATAAAATGACGGCATATTGATTGGCTTACTCTAAAAATTACTTCCTTGTTTAATTACCTTTTTTGTTTACAGCATGCAGTTTTGACTTTTATAAATGAACAGCTGTTTGATTAAAGAGCAATGCTTTTTGGGACACGCTATCTAACTGAACAAAAAATATTTATTTGCATTATCATAAACACTATCTATTGCGTAGACAGCACTCCCTTGGGTTTGACCTGTTATCATAATATGTTTTTAAAAATTAGTTAGAATTCAAGTCTCCCAAATTTTAAGTTCAGGTGGAAATCAAGCTGAGTATATAATTTTCTAGTTACTTATAGTTTTCGGCAAAAGATTGTACTACCTATTTACAACATCTCGTCTATAATAAAGTTAGGAACATATTTATGAAGTAACAAAAGTTACATGTTACATTAAAAAAGTGTATAGAATTTCTACGAATCTATAAATAGTTAAAATCAACCTCCACTTGTGAAAGTATTCTTCTTGCAACTCAAATGAAATAAATTCGTTTACGTTTAAAAATAACAATAAAAATAAATCTTCACTAAGCTACGTCAAATATCTAACGCGGCTACGGACTTCGAAAACATGCCATTCACTCTGTCAGTGTTTCAATCCTTCTCCCACAATTTTGTACATTTTTTATTTGTTTTACTTTTCCATTACACGTGGAATTATTGTCTTCTTTCAGACGTTACTTTCAATTTCTTAGCTATTCTATGTTGAAAACATTAAACTATATTAAATTAGTTATACCTATTTTGTTGCCTCTGTCCTTGAATAGTTGTATATTACCCTGTCAACATTTCACCATCTTGGGTTTCATCTTCAGGGGATCTATTATTCCATCACACTATCACTAACACTATTGTATATGTTAATAAATTTATTTATTTTACATACCAACGGACATCTCCAATTGTATAAACTAGACATGAATAAAATTCTCTTGAGTGACTATAGAATTCAAATACATTTTTGTACAATATTTCTACCCAGCAATAAATATATGTACAAATATTTAGGCCTTTTGTCTACATGACTCCGCCGCGTGTCCTTTAACTCGGTCTGATTGCGATGAAATTGTGGCGATTACGTATATACTTGTGAATATATAGACAAAAGTGAGAGTGTGAATGGTGTAAGAAAAATCCCTGATGATGCCAGAAAAGCTGGCAAAATGTTCATGGATTACACAAACTATTATTTCAGAACACAGGCAACAAAAGGGTACTACTTTAATATGACACGTGTATAGTTGTCTAAACAGAAAACTATAGCATTTTATCAGTGATTTAAGCTGCCACTAAATTGAGTATTTTCTTAGTTTAGGAAAATACACAGATTTAGGGCCATCGATTCTAATAAATTCAACAACAGCGATGTTTAGGTAAATTAATTCATGGGCACGCTTCTTCATGAATATTGATAAGCTTAATGGATCTATTTGATAATGGGTTGGTGAATGAATAAATGGATGTTTAATAGATGTATGCAAAGAAGAATTTTGCGTGCTTTTAACGCAGCTGAATGGACGAGTGGACAACTGTAGAGAATGAATAGATGTTAAATGAATAGGCGTAGAGATTAATGGTTGCATGGCGAAATCCAATGAATGCCTTGGTCAACAAATGTTTTTAGCAGTTATTATCAAAAACTACTTTGATTAATTTACTTGTTCTGTAAATATAGTTTATGGGTCACTGTGGTAGATTTCCAGTGTTAGTTGAGTGTTATAAGGTTTAATTGATTAAACTTAACTTTGCTGAATTCATTGGGATGAGCCGCTGAAGTTCTGCCTATATGGTTTATACAGACTATTCAATCCTCCAGAAAAATTTGTCTATCATGTCCATAGTCTGAAACTCTACTATAGGATTATAACACCGATCATGGGACCATTTAAATTTCCATGTTATACCTATACCAGTAGGAAAACAGTTTAGTTAAGTCTATGCTATTAGAAGGGTTTGTTCCTCCTACTTCTGCAGAGTCATATATCGAAAGGTTGTACTAAAAGGGTTCCTTGGCAAAACCCAACCAAGCACCTTAGAAATTAAATTTATTTTAACAAACTTGGTGAAGTAACGTATGGACATATTGATAGAAAATATTGTAAATAGTGTTAAGTTTAGATGTTTTTAATATTTCACTACATTCTGTATCCCTACATATCGAGTATTTCACAATACCTGTTCATTGTTTCTTTATACATGCAGTACCAACTAGGATTCCAAGAGACTTTTAATTTCTCATCTAAAATATGAGTCTGTGTATTTAACTTAAAGATATTTTCAAAGTGTGAAGCCCCATTAAAAATATTTTTATTCAGTATTGTGTTTTTTTTAATTGCACAAGCTTCTATAAAGAAATGTTTAAGTTGATGAATTATCTATTTCCTGTAAAAAAAAAAAAAAAAAAAAAAAAAAAAAAACTATAGGTCTATACTAAAAGTAATCTGTCAAATGTACCTTGAAAAGTAAAATTGAATTTAACAGAGTTTGTTACAAGGCAACTCTTGTCCATCATAACTGACCAAACTAATATTGACATAATCACTTTTTGTTGACTTTTAATTAACCTTGATATTTTAATTTCCGTGATAGATATTTTAAACATTTGATCCAGTATGAAGTTTTATGATTTTTAGCAAAAATTATGTGGCTGATTTTCAATTCTCGCTCTAACTTTTGCATGTTTGAGCAACTAAAAAATTGTCAGCCTCAACCCTTTGGTATTTTTGTAACTTCAAGATGGAGAACATTCAGTATCCTACGTTTATCATCCGATCTTTGAAAATTAAAAGAGTTAGGAGGACGAAGCTAAAGATTCTCCTTAATTTTACAACAGCTTACACTATAATAACCGAACGAACACAAAATTAGTAATGTATCAATTAATCGAATTTGTGACCTTTAAAACACTTCCAACTTCAAATGTAATTCCAATTAAGTTATCTCAGGTTTTATTCTGCAGGAAACCATTCTGGAAACCAAACAATGGTAAAGATATTGTAAAAGATGTCCATCAGATGTTAAAATAACTTTACATCCCCAAAGACCTTACCTGATGTTAAAAGGGATGGACTTTTACTCTAGAAAACTCCTGGCGCTTTTCTTCCCTATTTTTCGCCATTTTAATATTATATCATGGTAGGTTGTATATAGCTTGTATTTAAGTTTAAAACTTAGTAATAATCGGGGATAGCAAGGGAAATTTGACAAACAGGTTGATTAAATTTAATATATTTGATTAGCTTCGATGCAATTTATATTTTAGAATGTAATTTCGTAACAAATCCAAATGTTAAAATTCATTAGGTTCTCGAATTAGGTGTTAAATTAAAGATTACAAGTTTCTGCTAAATACACTTGTATCAGTCAACTCACTCAAAACACGAAAATGTATACCTTAGATGTCCTTCGCACGTATATAATGAAAAAAATCCAAAATAGTTTCAACTCATTTTACTGGTTGACAGGAATTATTATGTTAATATTAATAATACCTTGTCATAAAATTATAATGGAAAGGGGGTTGTTTCAATGGATTACAAGTTTCTGTAAAGAGCGAGAATACCACTGAGTTAATCATTCAATGATTAACTCAGTGGTTCAGTAATTGACAAATCACAAAATCGAGATGATTTTGCAGATATTCCAAATATCGTTTGTGCAAGGGATATCTTTTATACAATTTACATCAATAAATTACATTTTTGTTATATAAAATTGGACTAAGATTCTACAATTGATTGACTTGATGCTCTTATAAATATGGATTAAATAGAAAAAAATGTACTAACAAAGAATTGATCAAATATACGTAACAAAACATTGTAAGTAATTTTCACGATTATAAGTTAATTAAGTCAGCTTTAGGTTCCTACGATTTCACCTACATAAATGTGAAATAAGCTACGAATGTTTATAAGAAGAAAATCATAAAATGTTTAAAAAATAAGGCCCACAGGTCAATTTAAGTGTTTTGCTATGTTGTAGTTGATAGTGGTTTTTCAGGAGTTTTGATGGAACAATTTGATCCGTACAAGTTTTATTTCAGCTGATTCTAATAGTGATATCTAATTTATTCTGACAGTAGGGCCTACATTTGTAATTCAAAGCTAATCGATTTAGCCAGTTAAAGGGCTTACTGTCAAAGTGGATGCTGGGAATGGAGTTAGCCTACTGCAGATTCAATCAGTTAGGAATCTTAATTAGACACAGAATGTAGGGATTATTAGACCAGTTGAATTGATGTTGTGATTTGGCTGAATGAAGACGATCAGTTTAGGTTTTCTTCTGTGCTAACCTGAACAGTGGCATTACTGCAAATTTATTCCCTCTATAGTGAAAAATTACAAAAACTTCACAAGAGCGCTAAAGCTCTGCATTTAAGGCAACACAATATAATCCTGGGTGAAAAAAAAAAACAAATTGAGTGAGATATCAAAAGATGACCAACTTCAAGGGGAGTATGCACGCATATTGAAACTGAACTTCACAAATAGTTGTAGAGAATCTTGTACAAAATTAGAAAATCCGTCCAAGGGTAAGACCAAAAACCAAAGTGTTGATTCACATATTAGCTCTTGTAAAACTAAAAACTAACATACCTATCCAAAACTAAATCCTCCCATATGATATAAAAACAACTGTACATTAATTTTAATCAAGAAGTATTTGCAAAACTTTCACAAATCTGTAGACCTGTAACTGATATGAATATAAGGTGGAGATCAATATTTTA